GATGCTCGCTGAGTGCAGGTACTTCAGCCCACGTAGGAGCTAAAATTCATTACAAATGTTAGTAACAAGCTGATAACCAAATCGAACTCAGTCTGTTAGCATATGGTACAAGCTGCATTTCATTCGTAACCGAACGAAATGAACACGGAAAAGACCCTTGCCAAACGAAACGAACACGGTATTGCTAACCAAATAACTCTCCTCTAATGAATATACATATGCACATGTTCCTTAAACCGATGAACGACAATGAACAACCGATAAGATTCTAGTGGTACAAGCTTTCTCTCACACCAATCCTAATAACTCATCAACCTACTTTTGCTGCTGAACGAAAATGCAATTAGGGACCAGAATGTCACACATTAAAATGCAGCAATTCAAAACAGTAAACGGTAAAGAAAAAGAAAGGGGTTATTTCCCAGTACCTGAAAAACAAAATACTTGCAATGATCATTAGTAAGTGGCTGAGGAGACTTGATAATCTGGAGCAAATCGGTGTCCATAAGCTCGTAAACCAGATAAACATCCTTAAAACTGGTTCTGGAAGCAGGCATCATAATGTCTTTCAAGTCAATCACGTTCTCGTGTCGAATGTGTCTTAGAAGTTTCAACTCCCTCAGAGTTCTCAATGCATCAATTCGGTTCCCGAACACGTTGCTGATCTTCTTTATGGCCACTTTCTCATTGGTTTCCCTGTTGATTGAGGAGCAAACAACACCGTATGATCCTCTCCCTATAGGCTTAATCGGAACATACTTTGTGTCAATCTCGAAAAGGATTTGCCATATTGAATAATAATGCTTCCCTCTTGGCTTCTCCCCATTCGGTGGCTCTACAGGAGTCGCCATTCCTCTGAAATTCCCAGAAAAAATAACACTTAATTTTAACCAAAAATGAAAGGGGGATAGGGATTAGAATCAATTCTTACTTGCCGCTTCTACTTCTTTGCTTTGATCCTTGCTAACAGCTTTTTCGCTACCCTTTCCTTTAATCTATAAGCAAACCCCAAATTCACCAATTTGTAAAATTTCAAACTTTCTCACCCATTTCTTCCAAAATGAAAATAAAAATACCACAATTTTGTTCTACCTCTATACCAATTCCAAATTCACAAATTTGAAATCATCCCATTGTAAATAAAACCAGAAATCCTCTTCATTTGAATTTCACAGCAACAAAAGTTGGGTCTTTATGCAAAATTCTTATCCAAAACAAAGAGAAATCGATCTTATCTGAATCAAAATTCCATATCAGACAAAAGAGACAAGAAAGAGAAAGAGAAAGAAGAAAGTATCTGTATAAAGAACGGAAATTTAAAAAGATGTGGTAAAGCCTTTAAATGGTTCTTAACAAATAGTAGTCCAAGGAAAAGAATTAACTAAAATTGATGAAAAGCATTGGTTTTCCAATTAATAATTTCTATTAGTAGCACATCATAGTCAGCTTGAAGCTGAAAACTTTCCCACCCCAATGGCTAAACTTAGCTTTGCATTGCCAAATAAAAAACGTGGAAGGGATGCTTCTTGCATTGAACTTATCGAGCATTGTCCATTGCTTTTCCTTTAATCAATCAATGAATCTGTCGGTCCAACGGTGCATTGGATTTCTATTAGTTCCAAGTAAAGGTACCGCCCACGTGTGCTCACCCCTTTTGGCCGCCTCGCTTGCTTTCGTTTGCAGACATCACATTCCTCAGGATAGTTACCATGCACGCAATGATTGAAGATAGAATGAGAAACGAGTATCGTTTTGCGGCCATGGGGATAACAAATCGGTTACTAAATTCGTGCTTTTCTCGACTTTCAAGTCGTTACATCTTCAAACTCGAAAGGAGATTCCCTTTTCATTGGTTAAAATTGCATTTGATTATTAGAAAGAAAGATGGCAAAAGGAGGGATAAAATGCAAGGATTGTTGGATTAAACACTTGCAATGTATAATTCGGTTAAGTTTTTCATTTTCCTTCAGGTTTCAAAGGAAAAAAAAAACAAACATCAAACTTTCAGCATAAACTATAATCATTCGGTCTGGTTTTTCAACATTTCATGCACCTCATGTTCAAAGAACGAATAAGATTTAAATCTTTAATTTTTTAATTTTATTTAAAAAAATTATGTCTCACTCTATCAATTAATAATTATTAAATTATATAGTTGTCTCTCTCTTTCTTCTAACTTAGATTTTTTCTAATTATTTTTATGAACACTAATTTTAATATTAGTTGTAAATTGACGGTGATTATTAGTTCTCTCATTTTTTTTTATTATGTATTTTGTTTTTTTTCTTGTTTTTTTTTTCAATTTTGAATAAGAATCTATATTCTTGTGACACATGTTTTTTCTGTTATTGTGACACTATCTTTACGATTTTTGGTACATTTTTCACATACATTTGTAATCGTTTTGGTGCTCACACAAAGATTCTCACGATATTTATTTTTGATTGGTTTGTCGGTGATCACATAGAGTCAAATCCCCTCTTTGGTAAAAGGTTGTTTGCCGTTATAATCAGAATTGTGTAGTGAAGCAGCCTGCCAAATAGTTTAGTTAGCTCACCACTCTTTTATCACTTTGCAAAGCTTCTCGTTCGACAAAGATAATGTGTTTTTATAAAGGTTGCTAGGTTCTTTTGTTGTTGGTTGTCATTCTCAATGAAATGTTTTATTTTTCTTCCTATCTTTGAGTTTAGTACTTTTACTTTTGTATGAGTTTTTGGTGATTATTGTCTTCATTTTTTTTATACTTGAGTGTGTTGCAATTGTGATTAATTTCATTATTTTATTAATAAAATTCAGTTGTAATTGTTAAAAAATAATTAAATTATCAATTATAATTGAGTCCCTACAATAGCCCTCAAAAGTAATAACAATGGAGAGGTTATGTTATTTTATGATATTTAAAAGAAAAAAATTATTTTTGAATAATATAAATTTATATTTTCAATATATATATATATATATATATATATATATATATATATATGAGTTAGGATCTACTTACACTCTGTGTAAAACTTAGTTTTACATCTTTTTAAGACTGTTGGAGGAGAGAAATCAAAAGTTGATATTAACTCATTGTTTTTTTTCAATGAATATATTCTCATTTTCTACTGTTAATCACAACCTTTGATTTCTCTCGTTCAACAGTCCTAAAAAGATATAAAACTCTTAATTTTGTATCGAGTGTAATTGAACTCTATTCCTATATATAGAGAGAGTTAATTGCATCACATGTCCTCAAAATATAACTCTCATTTTAAATTGGTCCCTAAACTTTTAAATATTCCAAATTCATCCCTAAACAATAATTATCATTCTAAATTAGTCATTAAACTTTTGAACATTTCAATTCAATCCCCTAACTATGACCTTCATTCTAAATTGGTCTCCAAACTTTTTGAACATTTTAATTTCATCCTAAATTATACGTATATACTAATCGCATCCCTTTTTAATAAAATTGTTAGATTAGGTTATATTATTATATGTTTGAGAGAAAAAAGCAAAATTTATGTTAAACTATGGTTGAAACTAAGGAAATTGGAATTTCTAAAAGTTTGGGGACCAATTTAGAAATGGGGTAATAGTTTATGGATGAAATTAAAATGCATCCTAACGTGGATTCCAATTGGGATACTTATTTAAGCCAGTAGATAAGTGGCCTTTCACTTTGAAATTCTCTACTAATTAATTATAAATATACAAAAAAAATAGGCAAAATTAGTTGAACTAGTAAAGAAGATTTTTTTTATGAAATAGTGATCGTGAAAGTTTATTTTCTTAAATAAGAATCTTTTTATAGTGTGTCGGAGAAGATAATCAGACGACATAGTATCTTTTGAGAAAATAGTTGGATGGCATGGTATCTTTTACATATACAAAGAACCATATCATAGTTGTCTTCTTCAGATACAGTAAAAAATCGCTAATTTAGAAAAAAAAATCCATTGCAATACACATTTTTTTTCTATACCTTACCCGGGCATTTTTGCCCAAAAAATTGCATCTTGGAACCCTAATGTTATTCCAATAATTGGTTCATTATTATAAACCTAAAAATTAGACAGCCAATTAGATAATTAATATTTTTAGTAATGCATATAAATATAATTTAAACTTATTAAATATTTATATAAATAAAATTTTAGTTGATTATTCTTTTAAAACCACTTAGCAGATAAGGTTGACAGAAATGTTTGATTTGGTGTTGTGTTCCAAATAATGTATTTTAGGAACCGACCCAATGTTGAAACAAAGGGACTGGGAATTAAAGCATGAAAAAGTAATGGGAGAAAGTAGAGGGGAATAGACAAACGACAAGTTTGCTATATGGCCCATAATCTCCATATTTTTATCATCTTTTTCCTCTCATTCTCAGCTAACTTTTCTGGGTTTATCATTTGCTTATTATATGCAGATCCTTTTTCCTTGAAAATACATCTTGTTATTGTTTAGTTCAACAATTCCGAAAGTTCAGCTCAAGCAAACCCTAGCTGGTTTTCAATCATCTACACAATTACCATCTAATATAAATATATTTGAAATGTTAAGATTAGAATCTGGATTTATAACCTTTTAAAAATATTTATATGAATTATGTTTCGTTAAACAGTGGTATTACCTGATATTTTTAACTTTAGGATGAAAACCCCAGCTCCTAACATATATATATAAATTACAAAGTGAAAGGAAAGAGCATTTTAAAAAGGAAACCTTAGTGCAATTCCAGGGTCAGGGTTTCAATCATGCCTCATGCATCTATTTGATCTTGCTAACTCCAACATATAGGGTACTCGTTTTTCTTTGCTTCAGATTCTTGCTTTAAGCTGAGACTTTTGCATGCAGTTGAAGGAAAAGGAAATCAAGGGAGAAAAGTAGTTTTGGCTAAAGTGTTTTACAATATATATTGCTTTCTTCCTTGAACCAAAGGGAAATGATAGCTTATTTGGTTTATATTTTCAAGGGTTAATATATAATATTTATTATTTATTGGAATCATCATGGAGTCTGCAAATCTTCATCCTCATAACCATAAGGTTCAAGAGCAGTATGTCAAATATTCTTCTCCGGTACCTTCAACAAGCCATCGAGTTTCAGCCATAGATGAATGGAACCCGAACGTCTTTCCGTAAGTACCTAAATCAGTTTCCTTCTCATTCCTGCTTTCCCTTTTTCATTGTTGTAGTCCGAGAGTCTGAGCTTTATTTATTTGTTGATTATATAACATGTACGATCTGGTATGGTTCATGCAACATCTGTATGCCTCTGGGGTTTGTTTGGTTTTCAATATGATGGTATGTTGGTAATGTTTTCAGGCTAAATATATTCTGTTTGTTGTTATGTCTTTCATGCAAGAATATTGGTAGTAAATACGATAGGGATCTGAATGAAACCATCTCAGCAAAAGATTCATGGCAAGCGCCACCACTGACAAGGACTTCCATGAACCAAGATAGCTTCAACCAACAATCTGCAAGTGAATTTCTCCTTGCAAATATCAAAGATGATATGTCAGATTCCTTCCCCAAATTGAGTGAGATGATGTACTGGTACTCTATAGAGCACTCATATCTACCCTCTAAAAAGCACTACTGTCCACAGTATCCTAGTGATTATGATCTTGGAGGGAATCTATTGCACAGCAATCTCTTCATTGCTAACAACATGACCGAGCTGCAACTTTCCTCAGGAGAGTTGTACAATAATGTTCATCATTCCCCACGTACGGGAACTACATCAGCAACTAGCAGATATGATTTCAATCATGTCTTTCCAAGTACAAGCATTTCCACCTCGGATTTTTGTTCCACATTGTTGTCAAGCTCTTCGGACTTGAACTTGAAATCCTTGGATCTTTTGACCTCAACGTATGATGGTGGAAGTTATAATCAATCTTTACTTGATATGATTCCCGGGAAATTAAGCAGAAGTGTGTTTATAAGCCATGAATCCAATGATCAAAGAAGAGAACACAGTGATAGTATGTCCACCAGTTCCAAAGTGGGTATCTTTCTCTTATTCTTATCCATGCCACTTTGAATTTTCATGCATTTACAAACTCCTTAACACCAAACAAAACAACTTAATAATGGAAAAGCTAGCCTTGGAAAGATATAGGGAAAAGGGTGCACTTTCCATTTTTCAGTTTTACAAACGAATCTTCAATTCAAATTCACCAGCAATGAAATAGTTATTTTCTCATTGGTCACTCCATAAATTGAATTGCTTTTCTGTCAACCGTCAAAAGGTATCAGCCTTTGTTAGTGGATCTCATACAAACACAAAGAGGCCTGGAAGCTTTTCTGATACAAAAGAATCGACCCATACAGATGCTAAAAAGCATAGGTCCTCATGTCCCACATTGAAGGTGAAACTGATATTCCACTTACAAACTCTGCAAGTTGTAGTTTCTATTTTACTTTGTCAATCTCTTAAATAGCTTGGTCTTTTGTTTTTTTTTTTTTTTTAGCTTCAGGTTAGGAAAGAGGAACTAGGAGACAGGATCGCAGCTCTTCAGAAGTTAGTGGCACCTTTTGGCAAGGTATATTTCATTTCCATGTTACTTCCCGATCACCGTCCACTAAGTCTGATTGCGTCTGAGATGAGAGAACCTTGCAGTTAAAGAAGTTAATATATTAATAGGGCCATACTTGCATATATCTAAATTTTCTATATTTGAATGATGGCCAGACAGATACATCTACTGTGTTAACAGAAGCCATAGGGTACATCCAATTCCTCCAGGATCAAGTTCAGGTAATTTTCATTCCTTTCACTATTGCATGCATGTATGTGTGTATGCATGTAGTTGCTTTGGGATCTTGAACAAGTTTCTTCTTCAATTTCCGTTTGCAGACACTGAGCGTGCCATTTATGAAGTCATCACAAAGCAAGCTTTATAGGACAAAGCAAGGGGTACAGAATTCCTTAGCTATCCAAATAAGCCGAACAGTTGCAATCGAAATGATTTTAGAACTAAATATTAATCACCATTAATCGAAGAATCCATTATTGGCGAGAGAAAAATACAAATTTCTTTTCTCTTATCGGCTGCAGGATCCAAGAGAGGAAGGAGGAAAAGAAGGGCAGAAGTTTGACCTCAGAAGTAGAGGACTATGCCTTGTGCCCCGCTCTTTAGCATCATATTTTATTAATAGTTGCAGTAGTGGGATTTAGACATCTCCCCATTGAGAACTTGAGATTGTACTTGTACATAAGTAACAGTAATTTCAGCCTTTGGGATTATGAAGCTTTATATAAACTACAGTTTATGAATTCGGTTCAAGGTCTGGTTATAGACACCACGAGCTTTGGCTGGCCCATTTATTACTTGCCAACCTCCATTTATAAAATCTTTATTAGGTACTAATCAACTTGGCATTAAACTTCCCCATTACAAGGCATTATCAACAATATTGCAAGAAGGAAAAAAACAGAAATATAATAGAGAAGGTTGTCACCACATCTAGCAGTAGAATACAATAAATTTATGAGCTAGATGCAAGTTCAATCAAATTTCCTCCTAAGAAAATCATTCATAAATATGATGAAATGCTAAAATCTTGCAGGAAATTACTACAGCAATTGAACGTCAACAAAGATGTATGACTTGATACATAACCAGGCAAATAGCACAATCATACATCTATGACCTTTACGGAAATAAAGCATAACCAGAGAAATGTCACATAGAGAATAGTCTGCCTGTCAAGCTTCCTCTCTTTTTCAATACAATTAGAACTTCAAACCCATATAATCATGTCATGAAGGCCGAAGGCCAGCGCCCGTAATTAATTTTCTTAGCATGTTGCTATTGATTTGAGAATTCAAACTGCACTTCTTGAGATAAGGAACCTGATAGAAGCCAGTAAATTTTTTTCCTTTTCTTTTTCAGTCGGAATCAGAATCGTGATTTAGAGACGATCTCACTGATCTGCGCCTACTCTCGTCATAAATGTCATCCTCATCATCTTCATTTTTCTTCTCACTAATTATACCTGTAAAATGATACATGGTTTTCAGCTCTGCTAAATGCTATAAAATATAAATTGCATGTTTGTTCAAGGCAAAGTCATTACCTTTCTTTATCAGAAAAACCTCGAGTGTCCTTGTAGCAAAATCATCTTTCCCCCAAGATCTTGAAACCCAACCAACCTATCTACAGCAACCCCTTTTCTGACCAAACATTGCAAATATTCAAGTTAGATAGATGTGATAAAAGAGAGAATTGTTTTCTAAATTCAACAGTCGATGCCAAAACTTATCAATATTCGTGCCAAGGAAAAAGAAACTAAGAGATGGCTGACCTGAAAATTATAACACAAGGCAAAGTTTTGACTGCAAGTTTGGTAACAAAGAAAGGAGCATTCTGCCAAAAAGTTCAGAATCGTAAGTTCGCAATGAAACCAACACCAAAACTGGAATGAAATATGATAAACCTCTACCAAGCTTTAAATTATAGTAAGCTTGTTGATGTTCACCTCAGCATCCAGCTTGATGAACTTTGTATCCAGATGCTTTGGTGCAAGGGCTTTTAAATGTTTATCCATAATCCTGGATGTCCATGCATAATACCCAACAAGTCTCGCACATTTATAATTGAGCATGCGCAGTATGTGTATCCAAACTGTATGTCATTTAAAGTGTATATGCTACATAGTATACAGAGAAAAGTAAAAAAAAAAAACTTTACTTGCATCGATAGAATTCCTTATGGTAGAAGTGGCAAATCACTTTCTCACTTCCAGTGACTTCACCCAAGAAATCTCCTTCAGAGATCTCCCTGTATTCTCCATGCCCTTGCCCTTCATTGCTTCTCGCTTCTCAGCTTCTTTCTATTCAAATAAATCTAGTGTCATTATGGACTTCAGAACAAATATGCCCAGATCTATAGACCATTTTGCATCATTTTGAATTCAGAATTGTCATTAAATTTCTAACCTTGAGAGCAGCAATCCTATCTGCATGCAATTTTTCCAGCTCAGGATCCTGTACACAAGAAGCACATGAGCCTACGGAAAAACAGAGTAATGTAGAATGGATGAACGATGCTCCATCATAAAATATAAAAAGCTTCGTAAGACTTACATCCATCAATTCATCCAGGTCAACCTCCTCGTTGGCTGAAGCAGATGACTGTACCTTCTCTTGGGTAAGCAACTCCTATAAGATCAACACATACACAAATTCGCACACATTAAACACGTATCACTCAGCGTGCCTATTTTCTTACCAGCTAAATTGGATAACCAGACATCAAATTTTACAGCAAGTCAAGTCAACCTGGCTTAGCCATTTAAAAATCACTATTCAATTTACAGTTCCCAATCCATCATTGAGAAACCATTCTATTAGACCAAAACAGAATTTTAAAATTGTATGACTATTATCTACAAGTTCAAGCACAAGTTATTGTCTTCAAGTTCTCCAACAAATTACAGTACCTTCAGTAGCTTAACAGTAAAATTAAAATATTTCCCAAAGGCAAGCATGTAAAAACCCAATTAGTATAGTGTATCCAACATTGATGTGCAACTATTTATCGCCTTTGGGGAGGAACAACATAACAGACAATATAATTTCAAAAAAAAAAAACATGACAATATGTCAACCATCTACTTTTGTTTTTACAAATTTTCAGAGCATTACTTACTATTCAGTAGAAACTTTGTGGATACAAATGGGAAGGATCAAGTCAGCGTATAAAAAAGAACCAAAATAAGAGAAAAATAAGGTAAAAGGACAACCTTTTGATAATCACGAGCAGCTGCTGCCATAACATTCCCGAATGCTAAATTGGACAACGTTGATTTAACTGAATCCGGATCCATTTCTCTTTCTCCGAAAGATCAAAACAAACAAAAATAAAGAACAATTGATTTAGAGGGGGGGGGAACCGAGGCTTTCGTGGAAACTATATAGAAGCAAGCAGATCCAGGTATAACCTTACCTGTTTTCAATTATTTTGGTAAAGATTCAAAAAAAAAAGATGAAAAGAAAAATGAGATCTTGAAAATTTTAAGAGAAGGTTCTCTTGCGAAAGGCACCGTTTTCGATACGGACTTACTGTGGCACACAGCAGGCTAACCTTGTCTTTCTTGAAGGCCCAAATTTGATACTTTATAGTTCGATGTGTCCATTTCAAGCACAAATAATGGACTGACTTGATAGTCTTTGCAGGCTAAAGCACCGAAGGCACAATTATACAGATTGTTTTCCACCTGAAGTTGAACTTTGGGCTGTTCATCCCAAGTCCCTTAAAAAGTAAGTAATCTCTCAATTCTTACACCGTCCATGAATATGAAAGTTCCGTGTACAACTTATATACAAGTATTTCAAATATATTTAAAATATATATTTTTAGAAAAGAATTTTGAAAATTTTAATTTATAAATATTTATAAATTATTTAAAATTCATACATTTACTTTTTTTGTTTTTAATTTCCTAATTTTATACTTTTACAATTCATAGTTTTTTTTTGAATTTTTTATTCTTTCATGTAGTACTATCTAATATGTGATAGATGGATGTAGTCTTTAGGATAGATACTGAAATTCAAATTTAATTTTTTAAATTTTAATTTTTTATTAGTTATTTGTTTTATTGATTGTATAAACTATAAAATTTTATTGTATCTAGCTATATATATAAATTTTATGCTTTAATATATGTATGTTAAACCTAAAAAAAAAACTTTCTAAATCTGCTGCTGTATCTAATAGTGCTCCAAGACGTGTTCTAGATGTACCGTATCAGTTTAAACACGGGAGATAATGATGAAAAAGAAATTGCTTAGGATTATAATTTGGGTTTTTTTGGATTGATTAAAGGTTTTCATTTTGTGCAATAAAGGATACTATTACATGATAGAGCATCCTGTGTTGGGCTCTGTATAGACGACATGCATTTGCTGACAGACAGGACATGTTAAGGGATTGTGGAAGTGGGGCATTATCAACGGGTCGGTCTTCTTATCATCTTTCTTGGGTTCAGCCTTCTTCTCTTCAGGCTTCTTTTGGGGTTCCTTTGGAGGTTGTGGAGGAGGCCCTACGCTCACCAGCTCTACATGTTTCCCTACTCTTCTCGTTCGAACAATAATCTCGTACGGATCGGCATCGCCGGTTACTGATAGAGTTCCCTTACCAGCATCCACCTCTATCTTGTCTACTCCTGTACGTCATTAACATTCAATCATCTTTAATTGATTGCAATGATTAATTAAAACTGTAAATAAATACGAAGAGAATGGAATATTATGTAACCGTGTTTAGTGTTTTTACCTTGTAGTCCAGAGATTGCCTTAAGAAGCTTCTTCCTGCATTTATGGCATGAGATATCAACTTTCAGAACAGTCTTCTTTACCATGGAACCAACAAAAAGAAGGCTACTTTATATCTAGAATAAAAAAACAAGTTTTAGGTTAAGTACTGTACTAATTGCAGCATTATGATGTTATTTAAAGAGGAAGATGGAGAAATATATCAGAATCAGAATCATTGGATTGTTCACCTGGCCATCGTAGTTGGGGGAGGCTTGTCCTATTGCCTGTTTTCCTTGAATCCATCAAATTATATATGATCACAAGTTTCAGAGTCATGGGTTTCTTGCATTTGACCTATCTGTGTTTATTGTTTATATTTGGACATATTAGCTTAGGCTGCCTTCGGCTTTTAGTAGTCACCAGGTTGCACCATCTGGTGCATTAGCACTTAACGAGTCAAGAATCAAAATTCATTGTAAGGGTCATCGCTAACCAAATCCAAAATCAATTATGTTGGTATAATTCTGCTTGTCTTTTGTATTAGGGTAAATTACAAATTTATCATTAATCTTTACTTTCTTCTATTTTACTCACTAAACTTTAAAAGTTTTAAATTTTCTCACTGAACTTAATATATTGGGGTTTTTTTTCACTCCGTTATTAATAGTTAATGGCGTTAAAACAAAACTGTTTTAAAAATACAAAATTTTCACCGTAATGACGTCGTTTTACATTTATATAACAGTCCATTTATAATGTTGTTAATGAGAAAATGACTAAGTGACCCCAAAAAAAGCCTAATATACAAGAAGAAAATATGTGATAACATAAGAAGTAATATGTATTATCTTTTCGATATGAATTGTATACAAGACCTTTTATAAACTCTATATTTATAAACACGAGAGATTAATATATATCATATAAAAATCCAATCCTAATAAACATTACTACAATAGATTATAATAATAAAGTACTTTAAGATCCTATTTAATACATAGAACCCTTATCACAACAAACAATCACATAATTAAATATCCATAATACCAACAACTAATTGGTTTTGTGAGATAAGACACTACAACCATTGAGAAAGGTTAAGGGTTCAAATCCAGGCATTTACGAATGGAACAAGCTAAGTTGAGAGCCCATGCCTCTGTAATATTCGATCCAAATTAGTCGATTAATAAATCGAAAATCGGTGGTTATACCAAAAAAATAAATATTCATAATATTCTAAATTTTATTAAATAATTAATAACTATATTATACAATTATATGTTAATATTTATAATATATAAATTATATAATACTTGAAATACGAAGTAATATATGCTGTAAAATAATAAAAATGAACCGAGATGTTCAAATCGTACACGATTTTTTTTTTCAACAAGTCCAATTTTTTCCAATATAATCTAACTCAACTCTCAAAATTTGGGTATTGTAGTATTGTTTACATTTTGATTCTAGATGAAGAATTGTACATGTATTTGGGGTGTTGTTAATCATGAAGAACACGTTTCCCTTTCACGGAAAAAGAAACGTTTTATTCATGTATTTACTTGAAAAAGCATTCGTATTTACAGAAAACTTCTTCAAAACATCTTGGTTCCTTGGAGAGTCCACCCCAACGGCACCCGAACCCGACGGTTCCGACCCGATTGGGTCGGTTTATTTTTAAAAAAAATCGGGGTCGAATTCAGGTTTATGATGAAAAATACCTGACCCGAAAAAATTTATAATTTTACCTTACATATTTAGGAATAATTACAATAATACTTTTCTATATATTACTTTTTTTCAATTAAGTCACTATTTTTTATTGAATAAAAATAATATTTTTATTATTATTTCGAATCAGATTTTTAAGTTATATATCGGGTCGGGTGAAATCTTATTTTGGTCGGATCGGGTCTCGAGTGGAGGATTTCTTAATCTCGGGTCAGGTAGGGTGGACCCAAAACCCGACCCATGCCCATCCTCTACCGTCGCCGTGCCCCACCTCTATTTAGTTTTTTAGGGTAAACTACACTTTTAGTATCCCAATTATCCTTTTTATTCTATTTTGGTTACTCAACTATATATTTTTTTCAAAATCGTACATAACAATTGTATTTTTTATTTTTTCCAATTATGATGTGATATTATCTTAGGGTAATATATCAACATCATCGTTTTTTTCTAAAGAAAAGTGACCAAAATGAAATCAAAACTAAATGTTAAATATGATTTTAAAAAAAATTAATTGGATGATAAAAACAAAACAAAAGTGATAGTTGAGATACTATAGTTTTTATTAATTATTTCAAATATTTTATTTTATTAAAAGTAAATAAATATATAAAAATGTACAGAACATAAAAAATAATACTTTCTTATAATATTTGTTATGATGTAAATAATTATATATAAAATTAAAATGATAATTTCATATAATAAAACACAAAACTATTTTTAATGGATGTAATATCTTAATGGAAAATGATAATTTTGGAACCTTTTAATAGTAAAATAACTAATTTTTAACTTTTAATAGTCGAAAAACTTAATAAAATAATATTTTTTAGATGGGGAATTGTTTTTTTTAATAGTAAAAAAATCTCTATAATCAATATAACAAGTACTTTTAAAAAAGGTATAACATTAATAACACGAGCTCAAGCAAGCAACCCCATTTAATGATCAATATGTGGCCGTAAATATACGTATGCCTAACATCTAAAATTATTGATATCCTCCACTCTTTTAATCGGTGGAATATGATTTTTGTAATGAAATTTCAGACTAAGAGCTCAGCTAAGGCACATCTTAGTTTAAAATTGTCAAATTTTGCTCCTTGTCTTCATGCGCTTTAAAATTTAAATTCTTTTATTTTCTTTTAATTTTTACTTGTTTAATTTAAAATTTAAAATTCAATTGATAAAACTAATAAATATATTTTATACATTTACATTTTAATACGGATTATCACTTTCTGGTACGTGAAAAGAAAAGCAAAAATGACATTATTTTGTATGATTGTTTAATACTTGAAGCTGATGGTGACTCTATAATAAAATAGACAAGTACTATTTTGAAGAAAAAGAACAGAAAAACTGGATGAAAATAAAATAAAATAAAATTATTGTACCAAAATGAAACACGCACATTTAGTGGCCAGATACATGCATTGACACATACATAAATCAAGCCACAACAGTGATGCACATGTGAATGTTTTAACTTTCATCATTCAATGAAAGTAAATTAAAAAAATTATATTTAAAAATTGGGGGGGGGGGGGAAATAACAATATCCAACCACCGTAAGATTGCAAACAAACGAAATCTCACATTAGTTGAATATTAGTTTTTTGGGTAAACTACACGTTTAGTATGTAAACTATCAATTTTATTTTATTTTAGTGTCTAAATTTTATTTATTTCAAAATTATACCTGATATTATTTTTTGCTTCATTTTAGTATCTAAGTTTTTTATTTATTTCAAAAGTATACCTAATATTTATTTTTTATTTTAGTATCTCGTTGTTAAAAATTTAATGTAATTGTCGAGCGTGGTGTTTTTATGGGTAAATTACATATCACTTAACCATCTTATAACTCCACTTTTGATCACTAAAGTTTAAAAAATTAAATTTAACTACTCAATTTTCAAATTGTTCATGTTTTAATACTCTAATTTATTTTATTAATAATTTGTGACATTAAATTTTAAAGATTTTATTTTCCTTTGTTATTTTATCATTTTGTGCTTCTCTTTGTGCGGTCACCATATGCATCTATCGGTTGTAATGGTAGCCCACCATTGATTCCGTCCAAGTGTGCAAACCCAACGTATGATGCTATTATTTTATTTATTTATAATTATTGTAATACATTATATATATTTAAGGTTTTATGATATCAATAATATTAGATAATTCCTTTATAGTCTATTATTAATTATGATAAAAAAATTCTCCCCATATTTTATATTTAATTTCTTTTACATAAATTTATTTATATCATTTTGTAACCATTTGCCTAAACTTGATTTATAATGAACATATTCTATTAAGTCTTTAATAACATCATTTTGAGACCACTAATTTGCACCAAGATATTTCCACGTGTGTTATGGAATACTTAAAAGCATGAAGCACACGATCGAGTCAATTGGGCATTTATCCAAGTACAAAAGTGACATTCTGCACAGCTAAGCTAATAACACATTGAAAACTACTTGAACTACTCTCACTGGGGAATCTTTTTAACTTCATCTTTCTCCATTCTTTTGACTGTGCCTGCCTGGCTACCAATGCAATGGTTAGTGCCCCGACAAATTTGATTGTGATTGGAGCCTTTTGGGGTCTTGAACTACAAAATATGGATGGGGACACTCAAATTGCAGCATCATTTGCCTGCCATTTGTTCACCTCTTTCCAGCTGCAGAAGAATCCACACAATGTTACACTCTAAAGTTGCAACTCTTGGAAAGCTAAGAGCAATTAAGGCAAATACAAGACAGCACTTAAAATGGGTACTCCGGGAAAGTTGACAAATTAGGCAACGTTTTCATTATATTTTTATAATAAAAAATTGTTGCTAATTAGGAGAGATGACTGGAATTTGAACCTTACTTTTACACTTCACCGTTAATGGTCCTCTCTTTCAAACTATCGAATCTTCACGCCCATCGTAATGCATGCCATAAATAATTGCATTTTATTTCAACCGATAGGAACGTTATGTGATTATGATACTTGCATTTTCATAAGAGTAATTAAGATTGTACTTCTTCTTCGTTTACATGCAAATTAAGCTTTTAATTCACCAGGGTACTTTTGAATGGTTACCCCCACCAAAAAACCAAGAGGAGCAGTAACAAGGCATTGGTTCATGGGGGCCCTGCCACGATGGTTAATGAAAAGATGTTAATTATTAAGCTACCATGACAAGGTATATAGGGTTGTAAAAAGCTAATACGAATTGCAGATAAAATTGACTTAAGTCGAAATTGTTTGAGACATGGGAAGAGATGATTCGAGATCGATTAGAGTTTTGACTTAAGTCGAAATTGTTTGAGACATGGGAAGAGATGATTCGAGATCGATTAGAGTTT